CACACATTTGTTTACATTTTACAGAAACAAAACTTAAAACCACATGGCTTATTTGCATAAACTATAAACGCTCCTTGTGCGCTGATGCAGTCAGTTTATGTCGGACTAAATGAGAAGACTCAGTGGAATATGAGTGTTCTCTCTGTGACAGAGGATGTGCTGATGATGATGAGTCTGTTCTGTTCTTCATCACATTGGAGATGGTTTATGTGAAACTTTTCAGAGATTATACGTCTGCAGATCATGCACATAGACCGTATATATGAATGGACATCTATTCACTGTAGCATTTCATTGATTTCATAAATGCAACACACTATAGTCTTTTATAAAGAGGATACAGGTAAAAAAAAATTAAATGCAGTGTTATCCTCAATTTAGATGTCAATAGGGTTTTGTGATTCCGGGTGTTTTTTTTTTTTCTTTCTGTGGGAAACGCTCCAAATGGCTCTTTGAGTATTTAAGGGTGCCGACCTCTGACCTAGACCCAACCCAGGACTAAACCAGGACTTAATCAAGATTTAATCAAGATTTAATCAGGAGTAAACCAGGATTAGAACGAAACCAGGACTAAACTGGGATTTGAATAAAGAACCCACCAGGGAGAATTGGTTTATTTATGCTGACAAAGAAAACATTGAACATTGTGCAAGTTTTTGTTTCATGTGAACAGGCCTTGTAATTACTGAGATATTAACCGTAAACCAGATTAACAAATCATCAATCAGACAATTAAAGGTCCCGTATTACATAAAGTTGACCCATGTGAGCTTTTTAGTCATGTTCGTTTACACATTTTTGAGTTACCCTTTATTATGAGTCTGTCTACATCTCAGTTTTCTCTAGTTCTAGTTCATCTCTAGTTTTCAATCAATGAATTCTGACCTCTCTCAAGATCAGTTTCAAAGTAAAGACTTGCACGTGCCGGTCAATAAACCCAACCATTTGTCCCAGGATCCCCCAGGTAGACGTGTTTTAGCTCATGATAAATTTGGCAGTACATGTGTAATCATGTGCCCAGTTTTAGTGTTTGGACATGTGTGTTTTTATGCTTCACTTCCTGCTCATCTGCGCCTCAGTTGTTGGTTAATGTCTCCCAGGACTGTACATACATGCAAACACACACACAGGCACAGCATTTGTATCTATATTTGTATACGTTTGCTAATTTAATTTTTGACATACTCATGCTACTTCCCGTACCACAACCTCTGCTGATGCAATACCAGTATTTTTATTACTACTGCGATTACTGCGATAACTACTACTACAAGTTCACACATTGCGTTTTTGTGAAGTAATCAAACGCCATCCGCCACGGAATGAGTGCTGTTATTAAGGTAAGGACAGGTTTTATTTAATTGACTCCTCTCCACCTTCACTGTGCCCCTAGTGGTAATCGTACTTGCACTACCTACAGTGATGGAAAGTAACAAAATATATAAAAGTAGTAATGTACAGTACTTAAGTATAAATTTTAGAGATCTGTGCTTTACTTAAGTACATTTTAAAGTGAATATGTTTTACTTTTACTTTACTACATTTGAGCGAAGATACTTTCTTCTCCACTACATTATTGATTAGGACTGAAAAGTAAAAGTATTTTTCATTTTATTCATTTATTGTGTGAGACCTGCTGAAAAGCCTGATGTGTATGTTTAATATCATCAGGGAAAGCAATAACATCTCAATGGAGACAAGCAGGTAGCAGACCCTTGTGGGTTTTTTCGGAAGGTTCAATGCGTGTCCTAAAAAGAAGCACAGGAGATGGAGAATCCGAGAGAACAGGCCACTTTATTTCAGCATTTCCATTGAGAGAGATTCAAGTTGATTACCAAGTACAACTGCCACCCTGGAATGACATCTCTGACCAACTCAAAATCAGGGGTAGCTTTATACTACATCTTGACAAAACATTAACTTGTTGATTTAGCATATACAGCAAGAAAATGAACAATACTGCTGACCCAGTACACCTTATCATGGGTGGGAACATGCCACGGGGTCCACATATGTCAGTTTTTCTGCTTCGTGGCACTCAAAGTCCAGAAAAACATGTTCTTTATGACACTCAAAGTACAGAAAAAACATGTTATATAGACCTATAGATAGTCATACGTGTTTTCCACCCTGTTGTCATTCCAAAGTCCATAATATTAGGTGAATTAGCATGACCAACACATAATATTTCCCACAGTATTCCCCCTTTTGATTACATCAAACATGTAATCACCATCTAAAATAAGAGGAGCAAGACGCTACCTCCACATAATAAATCCCCATATATGAACAAAATAAAATTAAAAAAAATTTTTGTTAGCTTTAGCTCTTTTATAACATTTCCCAGATTCTTGTTAACACAATACACTTGAATAACATAGTACATAATCAATACATGACACTCGGACAGTGAAAATAAGAGACCAGGAGCACATACTCAGGAAGGTTTTATCTCTATTTAATCAATGGATAAATTTGTAGGGTTTCAATCAAACCCAATTATTGGAGTCAGAACGTGAGAGCTGAGAATCAGCAGAGAGTAACAAAATTTGGGAGACGGGAGCATTTCGTGTTAAAGCAGTAGTAATTAATCGTTCTACTAGTGATCTGAGACATGGGATAATGCAACATCCAATTACAACTAAAACAGCTAATATAATCAGTATAGTGGTACATATGGATATTATGGTAGCCGTCCAAGGGCCAAATATTTTGTAGAGCCAGTTAAACCAAGTATCTTCAGATACGCCAGAATTCCTACCCAGTTCCTCAGACAAGGATTTGAGTTTGGACACTGCTCCAGCCATAAAAGTGACTTTTTCCATGAGACTGTAAATTTTATTTTTTATTGATTGAATATCAAACAATCCTAATCCATTTGTAGTATTATTTAGTCCGCTAATAATCTCCTCTGACTTATTAGGCGTAGGCGTGGCTTTAGATACGGTTCGCGCAGGTGGGGCAGTTACAGGTCCAAAGGTTATTGCTGATAACTTTACGGAGTCGACAGCTATAGGTAAGGTAAATATCTTTTCTTTAGTTTGATGTTTTATATTTGTTTCCTTTGTGCTTAATTTTATGGCAGTCGTCATGCTATTTATTATAAACGCTCTTACGTCCTTGATTGTTTCTGGCATTTTTACGGTGCTTATCTCTATCAGGGGACTTTCTCTGTCCGTAGTATTAAAGGTGCTCAATTGTGGTTCATTTCCACATGGTTTTCGAGTAAACAACTCTGTAAAGCCATGGAGAAAGGATACGCACCCACATCCCATATTTGACCAAATCGGTTTTGTCCTCCACGTGCATTGAATTGTAACGTCTGTATTAAAATAGTTTGTAATGTTTAGGGATTGACATACGTTTGAAAATGTTTTGTTGTTTTGGGTTGAATATGCTGCGATTTCTTGTTTTTCTTGTGTTACATTTACTAAGCCGATATTTTCTGCTTTGCATGGAATAAATAACACCCCTATTTGTTCAATAGAGCCGTAATCAATTTTACAATGACATGTAATCTTAAAGTTAAACTCAGAATATTTTAGTTCTGGTCTGTTTTTTGCCATTAACACCTGAACAAGTGCTAATATTAATAAACATAGTTTTTGCCTCATCTTTAATTTGTTTTTTACAACACTGCTTTTTAATCAGTTTTCCTCTTTTGGTTTTACTTTTTTGTTCGTATTCTAGGTTAGTTTTTTTTATCTTTTTCTTTTTTACTCTATTTTACTTTTTGTGCGCAACTTGTTTTATTATTTTTATTATAAACTTCATTAAAAGTTTAGTTTTTTCTCTGCGTAATAAATTTCCTTATAAAATTCCTTTCTTGTCTCTTGTGAAGGTTAACACGGTATCTCAAGGAGTTAATAACTTTCTTAATTACGCTTTATGTGATTAAAGCCTAAACATACTATTGGTTTTGTTTTCAATCTCAATTAACATACTTCTGGCTTATTTTCTACGTGAAGCCTTTTAACACGGATTCGAGCTTTTGCTTTTTTCTTTTCCATGAAGCATAACATGCGATAATTAGTTTTCCATTACTTTTTAAATTGATCACACAAAAGTCCCAAGAAGTAAATCACAATTTCTAGTTTTTATACATTTAGCCAATCTGACAGGAATTCTGAAACAACAAAGGTCGCTGTCATACCTTCTTTTGGGAACGCGTTCTTCGTGTCTTTACTTCCAGGATTTCGTGGGAGGCATCGTTTGCAGACATTACTCTGTCAAATCACGTCGGGGTCACCATTTGTGGGTTTTTTCGGAAGGTTCAATGCGTGTCCTAAAAAGAAGCACAGGAGATGGAGAATCCGAGAGAACAGGCCACTTTATTTCAGCATTTCCATTGAGAGAGATTCAAGTTGATTACCAAGTACAACTGCCACCCCAGAACGACACCTCTGACCAACTCAAAATCAGGGGTAGCTTTATACTACATCTTGACAAAACATTAACTTGTTGATTTAGCATATACAGCAAGAAAATGAACAATACTGCTGACCCAGTACACCTTATCATGGGTGGGAACATGCCACGGGGTCCACATATGTCAGTTTTTCTGCTTCGTGGCACTCAAAGTCCAGAAAAACATGTTCTTTATGGCACTCAAAGTACAGAAAAACATGTTATATAGACCTATAGATAGTCATACGTGTTTTCCACCCTGTTGTCATTCCAAAGTCCATAATATTAGGTGAATTAGCATGACCAACACATAATATTTCCCACACCCTCCACCAGAAAAGTTGCACAGTGTACCTTTAAGTATTTGTGAGTCATGTGAAAAATGGTATGTTGTAGACATTGTAGACATAGGCCAGTAAATGGGAGGAGTGAAGGGTAAAAAAGCCCAGGAAAACGTTTTTGGAAGCAACAAAAAAAATTGTATATTTAGAGTTTGAGCAGTGTCCAATGCCACTGTCCAGAAGTATGACTATTTACATATACACTCATGCTTTTTTGCTAAAGTTTAAAAATTTTTTTGCATCATTTTGTGACCAAGATCTTCAGAGTGAACAATCATGGAGATGGATGAAATGAACAATAACCCAGTGAGCTCCATGAGTCGTCTGGAGAGGAGCAGTCACACCCCCTTCGTAGATGACGATGCACTTTGAGGAGGCTACCAGGTAAAGTAAACTCAATGAAAAACAACATTATACAAAATATTATCCCACACGAGTACTATGTATAGTTTGGGGTTATACTTTGGTATGCAAATTTGACATTTCTGGGTCTAGTTTTGACTTTTGCCTTCAGGGGAATTCCTAAACAGTAATTATAGGGCATGCACCGACCACTGCACACGGTCCTCCAAGTTTTTTGAGCAACAGAAACACCCGTGTGAGTTTGCAGATTATGAAATTTTATTAAACTAAACATAGTGACCTAAATAATTGAGATCTTGACATATATTAGATATGTAGAAGGTCTGCAAGATTAATCGCTCTCAAATTGAAATTGCAAATCGCAAAAATTGCAAAAGTATCACAAATTCTTCCACAAACAACTAAATATCTTATTCTACATAGAAACTGCTAAGCCTATAGTTTAGACATGTTCTGAAATATATAACTTTTATTTGTTTGTCTTAATTTTATTTCACTACATTTGAGAGCAGGTGTCTATCATTATTATTCCACTACATTTTTAAATTGGAATTAAAGTTAAAAGTATGTTTCCATGTGGCTTGAAATCTGCTAAAATAGGGTGATTTTTTTTTTTTTTTTAAACAGTCAGAAGATGAAGAAGATGTGGTGTTGCCCAGGGAGGAGATATGGCTGTTTGATTTGTACAGTGGCACATGGTAAAGTAAAGTTCAAAGTTTAGTTCAAAGATTCTGTTGCTTCTTAAGTATGGTTAAATGATTAATAGTAACGTTATATTGTGTGAATTAATATGGTTATATATTTTGTTAGGCAGCAGAGGGAGCTGACAGGGGACTTTCCATCTGATCTGACTGGGTACTGTTGATCTTTTCTGCGCAGGACATTGTACATTTTCGCAGGATGTGACAGTGAAACCATCTGAGGGTTGTGTTTGATCTGAAGTAAAGGGGAGGTTAAAACGAATAGAAAGCAAAGCTCTGTGTAAATGTGCAGATGTCTGTCACCATCCAGAGTGAAGACTGAAGCAGCTTCTCCTTGTTCCTCTGCAGATGTTTACTATGGAGCTAAAAAACAACATGTGTGGAAAAGGCTCACAAACACTTTTGGAAACACCCCTCTCCTCGAAAGAATCACTCAAGCTGGGTGTATCAGGATAGGTTGGTAGAACAATGATCATTAAACAATGAAGATAAAAAAAAAGTTTGTGTGAAAGCAACAAAAAGGCTTGATTTTGAGATAGTGAGACACCTTATCATGTTAGTTAAAAGTGCACTATATAGCTTTTTTTCTGATGAAGTGTCTGCTACCTTGTTTCCATGGAAAGGTTATTCATTTGCCTGGCTTGTTCCAGCTTGGCGTTAAACTTGTATATCTCAATGGAGACGAGCAGGTGGTGCCTCCAGGTCACGTTACAGGCTAGATCTGTGGAGAAGAACTTGTACCCACAGTCAAATTTTTTTGCTTTCAAAAACACCTGCAATCATAAAATCATAAAAGTGCAAAATGCTTGTATTTGTTAGAATAATATACTTTGGTGGCTACCAAAGTATATTATTGTGATGTACCCTGATAATGATCTAGTCGAGTTTACAGACAAGAATTGAAGGGACACTATACACGTGTTGGGGCTGGAACGATGACACTCTAACCTCAACATGGATCTTGCCAGAAACAAAAGTAAGTAACACTTTTTAGCCAAATTTCTTATATTTAAATGTCCCATGTCACACAAAATTGACTCTTGTGAGCCTTTAGCCTTTATAACGTTGTTACCTGAAGTTGTGTTTTCATGCTCACATATGCATGCACATCATGCAATATTAGGCTATCTACATCTTCAAAGCTCAAAATGTTCCACCTAGTGATGTCATGCAATAGTGGTTTTCAAGTTATCTGCTACCTTTTACCTGAAGTTCGTAGAGATTGGCAATTCCAGGGCTGAGATCATCTAAATGATTCTAGTGAAGATGTATCGAGTTTAAAAACACAGGTATATTTTGGATGAAGAAACAACATTATAACATAGATCAGAAAATAGCATAAAATGAGCTCTTTAAAATCTGTGATCATTTACTGTTATTTGTCCTGCTCCCAGAGACAGCCACACTGCTGCTGTATTAGAAAAAAAGGCTACATCTCTGGTGGTGTGGTGAATTTTGCCTAACCAGATCTGTATATGTGCTTATATGGTGCACATAAGGAAAAATCCTTTGCCTGTTAATGTTGAACAGTTGCACATGGTGACTGTGGTGACCACAAGGCCTGCACTGTTATGTTAAAATAATTAAATCCCACTAAACTATTATAATTTTGTTAAAATATATTGTTAAAACCCATTTCAGAATTGTTTAAATTATAGAGTAAATACCAGATTAAACAACCTGTGGTTAAAACTATGGCAAAACAAAATTGATTCTCATATGCTTTGAACCTGGTTATATTTCTGTTACCTCATCAAAAACACACCTAGAGTTGTGTTTTGTTTCATTCACACATGTTTGAGTAACCTTTTATTATTTGTCTGTCTACATCTCCAAAGCTCAAAATCCTCTATTCCACCTTGTGATGTCATGGAGTGGTATTTTTAACATTAACAACGACCTTTTACCTTTAATTCAGTAGAGATGGATTTTAAAAACACAGTGGAGCACTTCCTGTATTACGACATGGTATCACAAAGTGGAACAGAATGTTTTCTGTTCGCGAGAAGAACTCAGCCTAACACAACTCCACGTCTGTTTGTGATGAGGAAACAACATTATAACATACAGTAGCATAATATGGGCCCTTAAATTTTGAACAATCTAATCTTTTCTGGTGGAAGTGTTTCCATGGACGTGATAATGCCTTGTCTTGAATGTTCCACAGTATAACATTAAAGTCTGTTACAGTTAGAACCAAGCCTGTTCACTGTGGTAATGCATGTTTTTCCAAGACTGCATTGCTTAAAAAGTCATTGAAAAACAAACACCTGTAATTGAGTGGACAAGTTTAATGACATACTGTGGGACATTCCAGGTGAAGAAATAACCTCTGTAGACCCAAATAGCTCAGAAGGATGTGTCATACTGCACATACTCAGGCAGACATTTATGTGGTGACTAGAGTAAATAATAACATTCCTCAACAGTTGATTTCCCTAAACCTGAAAATGGTTTGTGTTGAATGAATTTGAATTTTGCACATCAGTTTCTTTAAACGGGTGCGTTGGAGGAGTGGGAGCAGCCCAAGAACATTAACAGAGAACAATCACACCCGCCGTCTTACTTTTAAATAGAGAGAGACTGATATATTCATTTGCCAATGTATCTGGCCAATATTTGGACAATATCAGCATTGGCCATGAAAAAAACCATACTGGTCAATCTTTACTTGCAAATTGTGAACTGTATTAGGACATCAGTGTTTCAGCACTAGGCCATAAGGCAAAAAAAAAACAATTCTCTTTTTTTCTCTGTTGAATTACAGATGTGTTGAAAGTAATCTTTATTTCTCTCTAATCTTTATTGTCAGAGTGAAGTCGGGGTCATGAGCTCCAGTGGGAATCGGTCTCAGTCCTGGTCTGGTCTCTGTCTGACCTCAATGACCGCTACACTGGACGAGACACTGTTTGTTTATGAGGGTTTCGGGACAGACGGACCCATTCTTAGTTAGTTTCATTTTATTCTTCTTGCTTAGGCTCATACATTTAAGATTTATAAAGAAATTGTCTCTGTTACAGGTAATGCCTATGCAGTATGACGTGCATAGAAAAGAATGGAGCTAAATGGATCACCAACTTAAAGGCAAGGAAGGAAGCGTTGACAATCCGTGTCTCATTCGTTCATTAATTTTTCAGTATAAAACCAAAAATAAGAAAACGAAAAAACAACTATTTTCTTCATTATTTGTCTCCAAAACCAAAATGAAAAAACAGACGATTCGTTTTTTCAGTTTTCAATTTTGTGTTTAAATGAAGAATGGAAAAAACGGATAACGACCGTTTCCCGTTACGTGACTTCCGAGACTGCGATGCCAGACTTTTGCACCGCATACGGACTGAACCAGGACTGATCCAGGTCCAGGACCAGACCGGAACCAGACTGGGACCAGACCGAGACTGAGACCAGACCGGGATCAGACAGAGACCAGACCAGGACTGAGACCGAGACCAAACCGGTACCAGGCCGGGACCAGGCCGGGACCAGACCGGGACCAGACCGGGATCAGAGCGGGACTGAGACCAAGACCAGACCAGGACTGAGACCAAAACCAGACCGGGACCAGACCGGGACTGAGACCAGACCGCGATCAGACCGAGACCAAACCGGGACTGAGACCGAGACCAGACCAGGACCAGGCCGGGACCAGACTGGGACCAGAGCGGGACTGAGACCAAGACCAGACGGGAACCAGAGCGGGACTGAGACCAAGACCAGACCGGAACCAGACCGGGACCAGCCCGAGACTGAGACCAGACTGGGATCAGACCGAGACCAAACCGGGACTGAGACCGGGACCAGACCGGGACTGAGACCAAGACCAGACCGGGACCAGCCCGGGACTGAGACCAAGACCAGACCGGGACCAGACCGGGACCAGAGCAGGACTGAGACGAGACCAGACCGGAGGCTCAGAGCCCACGGCAGGGCCGGAGCTCGAAGCTGAGGCTCGGACCCCGCGGAGGCTGGGAGTCAAAGCTCGGAGTCCACTCTGGTCCCGCTCTGGTTCCGCTCTGGTCCCGCTCTGGTCCCGGACCTGGATCAGTCCTGGTTTAGTCTGTATGCGGTGCAAAAGTCTGGCATCGCAGTCACGGAAGTCACATAAACGGGATAATAAATGTTTTTTCCATTCTTCATTTAAACACAAAATCGAAAACTGAAAAAAAGAATTGTTATCTGTTTTTTCATTTTGGTTTTGGAGACAAATAGTGAAGAAAATAATTGTTTTTTCATTTTCTTATTTTTGGTTTTATATTGAAAAACTAATGAACAAATGATACACAGATTGTTGACAAAACATGTGTAACTTCCTTGCGTAACCTTGGATAGAATTAGTCACCATATGACGAGGACACAAAAAGTTCAGCCCTCTCTCTGTATCTTTTTGTAACTCTTAAGGACACACATTGCGCTGTTATTGTCATAAAGTTGTTTCCTCATCACAAACCTGTACCTAGAGTTGTGTTTTTGTTTTAGCCACCTGCTCCCCTGTGTTTTTAACCTCCATACACCTTCACTAGAGTCATTTGGATAATTTAGCCTTGGAATTGCCTATGTGTACTGAACAAAAGGTAAAAGGTACCTGCTAACTTGAAAACTACCACTTCATGATATGACAGGGTGGAACAGAGCATTTTGAGCTTTGGAGATGAGGACAGACTAATAATAAAGGGTTAACAAACATGCGTGAACGAACCAAAACATAACTCTAAGTATGTTTTGATGAGGTAACAACTTTCTAATATGATTTAAAGCTCACGAATCAATTTTGCGTAATATAGGACCTTGAAAGACTCATTTCATGCACGGTGATAGAGCTATGCATTTGAAGTAAACACAATCTGACTGCTGAACAAGTCTGGTGATGGTTTATGGATTAGGTTAAAGACTCCTGGATTCTAACTATTATGTAACTATCTAGGGAAAATTGAAAGGGAGTTAAAGGGAAAGGGAGTGATACCTGAGCTCCCACAGAAGACAACCTTATATACAGAAATAATAAAACAAGCCTGACTGAAGCAAAATACAATATAAATGTCACAACAAAAAGTCTATTTTGCACGATATATATGTTCTTCAACCATCAGCACAAGAGTTTTTATTGCTCTCAAACGAAACAGAGAGAAATTAAAGATGCAGTCTTTAGGATTTCCTGTTTAGCTCTCAGGGTGAGCCATACCTCGTGTCTCTGAAATGACAGTGACATTATAGTTTTTGGGGGATGTAAAAATTCTCAAGATGGACCTGGTTATTTTAAGTTTAAGTCTGTACATTATAAAATTATGCTCAAAAAAAGATGAAAATGTGCATTTGCAACCATCTGGAAAAGCAAATATTTAAGAGAACACTCTACTAAACTGTGTATATAGTGTTTTAATAGCACTGTCTGCTGTTCCTAGTCCCTTTTTGGCAATTTCACTGCAAACTAGATAAAACATATAAAAATGAATGTGTGC